TTTTTATATTATAAATTTATATTATATTCTTATAATTTATTTATATAAAAAAATTTTAAAAATCAATCCTTCATTAAAATTAAATTATTTAAAGATTATTTGTAATTTTTATAAAAATAATGGAAATAAATTTTTACTCACAAATAACTTAAAGCACATTTTGTGTTTCTGATGATAGAAGAACAACAATTCTCTGTTAAAATTATCAGTAATTTTTCTTGTTTTCTCGATCACTTTCATATTTCCTTTCTCTTCTATTATTCTCCCCTCCAACTTTCTTTTAAGATTTTTGTACTATTTATCTTATATTTTGTACTATATATCTTTTAAATAGCAGTAAATTATATGAACTTTCTTTCTTTTCTATCTATATTTTATTTATTGAAATTAATCTTATTATCCAATTAAATAAATTTTTGTTATTTAAATTTATTTATCTGAATCGATTTATCCAGTTCTTATTATTTGAACGAAAAATATGTTTGTATTATAATTACAATGATAAACAAGAACAAAAAATCAATTTGTGCTTATTATGATTTTTTAATAATAAATATATTATACATATGAACTTCAATTATTATTATATTATTTTATTTTATTATATTATTTTAATATTTATTCTCCATATTCAACTTCAATATAATAATCAATATATACAACTTTTTTTCGTATATATAATCTTTTCTTTTTAATTAGAAATATTTATAAGTTATATTTATAATTAATATTTATTATAATAGATATTTATAAAAAATTATTAGTAATACTATATTGAATTTTTTTCTTCTGGATTATTTAAATTATTCTGTGGATTTTTAAATAAAAAAATATATATTTTATTTGAAATTTTATTTTAATCAAATTTTTACAATATTTCTAATGAAATTAGTTATTATATGAATGTAATTATATTTAACTTTTAAATTCTATATTAACTTTTAAACTATATTTGCTTTGCAATAAATTTAAATAAATTAAATTCTAAATATTATTCCTTTTATTATTTTTAGAATTTTTTTAATTTTTATACTTTCAAATACTATTTAATTTTTTAAATACATAAAAAATAAATAAATATTTTTATCATAAATGTAATGTATAATTATTCAAAAATACATTTTTCTGACAAAAATAATTTTAAAGAAACAATGAAAATTATGATATTCTTTTCAATTAAATTACACAATTTATATTTGAGTGGAAGGAAATAATTCAGGATATGTCATGTCACCGAAACGCACATTGAATTCAAATTCTTTTTAATAGTAAAATAACATAACATGCAATTATTGTCAGCATCTTTTCCTGTTAATTTCGTATATATATTTGATTTTAAACGAATATGTTTTCAATAATTATAAGATAATTCAATAGAATATTGACTGTATATATAGACAAATTATGGAGAATTTTGTTTTCTTTATTTTCTACTGCATTGTTTTACTTTTTCTTCGTGAGGGGATAGTAAGTTATTTTCATAAATTAAAAATTTATTTTATGTAATATGTATATATATATAAAACTATTAAATAAGTAATTGTTATATGTACAAAATTATGAAATAAAGTTTTACTTATTTTAGAATATATACAAATAGTTTGTATATGTATATTTATTATTTTTGAAACATTTATTTATATTTTTTATTAAATATTAAAAAAAAATATTAAAAAAATTGCAATATATTTAGTATAGAATGAGTAAGAGTTCATTCAATATATTCTTTTTTATATAGATATTTTAATTAATATACATTCATAATTTTAATAATTGAATTTCAAAGGTAGATTTATATATATACAATTTTATGATATATAATTTGTGATTATATATAATTGTGATATTATATTTATATGGGTCAATTTATCGATTAGTTTCTTTCCTATCAATCTTAATAAACTTGAAATATTATTTTGATTTTAATATTCTAACTTTTTTTAGACATAATCAATTTGTTTTAATTTTCGAATTATTTGTAAAGAACTTTTGGTATCAATGAATTAAATAAGGGATCTAATAAGCAAGTTCATATTAAATAATATACTGATATATATTGGATATATTTATATATATAGGATAAACTATGCAAGTAGAATGAGCTCTAATTTTGGTTTCGTTTAAGATAAAGAAATCTTAAACGGAAAAATTGAGTTGATAAAGAATATTTTTTAATAGAAGATATTCTTTTTTTTATTATATATGATATATATGATATGATTTTTTATTATATATGTCAAAATAATGCAATTGTAATAAGGAGATATTTAAATATATTACCGTTATAAATTCTTCGTATTGTTTTTTAATATTTTTTATCATATCGTTGATTACATATTACATTAGAATAAATCATTTTAATTCATTTTTTTAAATTTTAAAGAGAATCTTCATGAATAATTATGTATTTCTCAAAAAATTTTAATTATGTTTTAAATTCTAAATTTTTTGGGTATTTTATATTAATTCTTTCTAAAAATTATAAAATATTATAAAATAAATGTTAAAAAGCAACTAATTTATGTGAAAAAGCATGATTTTATAAAAATATAAAAAATATAGTTATATTTTTCTAATGCAACATTGCATATTAAAAACAATGAGTACTTACATCTTGAGTACATAAGTACAAATGAGTACATAAATCTTACCAAACCATACAATTTTTCTTTATCTTTGATGAAATAAGAAAAAAAAAAACTATTCCAGTTATATGTTTTATGTATATATAATTATATATCATTTAATTTATATTTTTGCAATTTATGATGATTTTCTCTGATAATCCTTTATAGATAAATAATAAATATATAAGATATCCCAAAATATGGGAACACTAGTTGTGAACTGAAAATTCCTAAAGTAATTTCAAGCAATATTTTTCTTACAGAAATATTTATTGTAACATTAATGATTAATAAAAAAATATGTCAATCATAGAATGCATACGGAACTGTGACGGTAGTGTGATGTACCATCAATCGAGTACAAATAAATCCAAGAAGTATTGATAAGTAAAGATATGTTTATTCATCATTCAAAATATTGCCAAATTATAATAAAAACAATATAAAATTTTTCTAATATATAAAATATATAATATATAATATATAAAATAAATGATAAATAATATATATTTGAAATAAAAAAAATAAACGATTTATTACAAATTATATTAAATTAAAAAATAAATTAATCAAATAGATGAAATCAATTGTTCACCAAAAATTCAATTCAAACTTTGATATTTTTTGAAACTTTTCTTTAACATTAACCATATTCTGATTTTCTTTCTTATTAAATTAATTCTTGATAAATTTGCACTAAATACTAAACTGAGAATAGATAAAATATCATCAAAAAATAATAAAGATAATATATCTTCAAATTAATATATTTATTATTCACTTCACTGCACAGTTATCAACACTAATAAATTGTAATCACTTGTAATCTAATTAAATTTAATTTTTTTCCGCATTTTTATTATATTTTAGTAGTAAACACTTTTATTTAAATCTTTGCAATCATGAAACTGAATAGATGATGAGTGTATTCGTGGATTGAAATCTCTGACCGAAATTGAATAGATAAAAAGATAAGACGATGTTTTTTCTTTCTAATAATATGAATTATATTAAAAATATGATACAATATGTTATCATGTCTAGTGCTCAAAATACGACGAAGTCTTTAACAAATCCCAAATTTATATCAAAATACAAAAGACTAATGTTAACGGGACATACTCTCTTTCTGATGATAAATTTGGATGATCCATAAGACATATCATAACCAATGACATCTGTGAATCAATCACTTAATGACATTTATTTGATCAATTATTTTTTAATTTATTTTTTAATTTATAAATTGTAACGTATCGTTTTTTTTTTATTCTAAATATATATTATTTATCGTTTATTTGTTATAAAAGTTTTATATTCTTTTTGTATCAAAATTTGATATAATTATTATTTTCATTAGCTTTCATTAATTATTAAATAATAATTAATTAGTTTAATTAATTAATTAGTTTCATTATTTTTAAATAAAATATAATTTGATATAATTTTTTGTCAATAAAAAAATATTTGTTATATTCAACTTACTTTTTTTATTCGTGCTATTTCAACTTGTTCGTATTTAGACTGATGCATATAATCAACACTCTCATCGTGGCTAGTCTATTTACTACAATCTATCTATTAGCCAATATTTTTTGTTAATAACTTATTAACAATGTCGTAACGAAAAGTTTTTGCAAAGGTTACAAAATGTTGCTTGAAATCTTCAATTATATATATATATATATATATATATATATATAATA